CTCTGTGGCAGTCTGGGGGAAAATAAAGGCTCGAGTGTTGAACTGAATGAATGGAGGTGAGATTCATTAGAATTGTGTTCACACGTTTGACTTCTTGGTCTTAATACGTCTCTTTAAAACCACAAGTCACTTCTCAGAGTTTGTAGTTGAGAAATTAAAAGTCTGAAAAGATTTTCGAGAAATATGTTTATTCACTTTTTTATTCAGCAGTTGATTAGCTTAGCTTAGCTTTTTATTATAGAGACTGAAGCAGAGGGAAACAGCTGGCCCGGTTCTGTGCAGATGTAAACATTTTCTCTCAAGCTGCTATAACTCTTTGATTGATTCAGTTTGTTGGCTGTTTTGAGAAACGAAAAGCATCACTACCCTATACTACACACCTTGTTTTACCTTCAAATAGCAGCATCAAAACCAGATGTTTCAGGAACTGTGAATATGGAGAAAGTTTCCTCTTCATTCCTACTCCTCAACCCTGAACGTCTGTTCTACGTAACTTTGGTGAGTGGCGACGATCTCCTGTGAGAAGAGCGGAACTGACCGAGAGTCACAGCTGAAGTGTAGATCACTTATAAAGACTTAGAAGTTATTAAAAACCAGCGTTTATCTTTATTATTTACCATAGAGGATCATGGGTAATATCCACTATTCAGTTGTTTTTCAGTTCAGTGAGTCAGAGCTTCACTGACTTACGTTACGTACTAAACCTTTAAAGTATTGTTGGTTCTGTAATGATACAGAAATTTACAAAACATTTCCAATTCTCTTTTAAACCCCAACATGATGATACACATGTGCATCATACGTCATAGTTCTTTATTTGTATATTTTACCTTCCTTCACCTTTTAACTGTGTCTGTCAAAAACTGTTCTGCTGGATTTCTGAGGAACAACAGAACAATTTCTTTACATTTGTTTTGAATGTGTGTGTGTGTGTATGCTGTGAATGCACGTACATGCATACAATGACACGTCTGTATTCCTGTGTGTGTGTCTCCGTCTCTCTGGCTTCTGTCTACCTCAGTCCCAGGGTTTGTTAAAAAGGAACAGTGGCAGTGTGACAGGACGAGAGCGAAACCAAATGGACTTTCTTTCGTTCTCTTTTTTCTTTGTACTCTGGTTTCTCAGTGAGCGCTCGGCTCTCAACAATGCTACATTTCCCCCAACAGTCGCTCTCTGTGGGGAACTCACCCCCTTCTTCCTAATTTCCCTCTACCTAAACAGAAAAGAGCCCCGTTAAAGAGCATCATTAGTGCCAGGCCATTTTTTTGTTTTCGTACTCTCAGAAGAAAAAGGAAGTGTTATCTGTGGCGGACAAACTTAACCCAATTAAGATCTGGTGGGGCGTAGGGGCCTGGCTCGGGACGCAGCTGGGGCCGCCAGCTTGCCAACCAGGCACGCAGCCAGCCAGGCAGTCAGGCAAGGGGCCAGCTCCTCACTCAGTCAGCCAGTCAAACAGTCGACCAGCCAGGAAACCAACCAGCTGCAGTGCACTCAGAACACCCAGCTGCAGCCTGGCAGGCAGGCGGCTGAACCAGCAAACCAACCAGCCAAACAGTTAGCCAGGCAGGTAGCCAGCCCAGACAGCCAGCCTCTTTATCCTGAGACGTTTACACAGAGCTCTGCTGTTTCTGCACACAGCATCTATACAGCACGTGTGTGTCAGTGCAGAAACCAGAGGGTGAGCAAGGACGAATGAGATGACGAGGAATTACGAGTGGACAATGTGATATGATCGAAGCAATCGAACAATTTTTCTTTTAGATAAACTTTGGGAGAAGAGAGAGAAGACCCGGCTGAGCATTCTTGTGTTTATTTGATTCTATGTACATCTCGGATTTCAATATTATATCTTGAATAGTATGTTTTGTTATTTACCTTTTCTCATGTTTGCTTGTAAGAATTAAAGTAAATGAAATATTGAGCTCCAGCGCTCCTCACAAGTACACAATAGTCATCAGTGTCAGTACAAGTATTTGTACATAAGAAAATCTAGTATTTATACTCAATGATCAGCTGCAACCACTTCTAATCATTCTTGCTATTTTACAAATGGGCCGCTGTAGGTTCACATCTGAAGTGGCCCACATCTGTACGCTGTCTGGGATCAGGTGAAACAACACAACCAAAGACATCTCACATAACGTTGAGCTTTCACATGACAAATACAACAGAAACCCGGATCTCTTTGTTCTGTGTTTTTTAAGAAGATGTTCCAGTTGTTGAGGCGCTGCACTGAGTGGGGGTGTGTTGCTGCAGGTGCAGGTTAAATGTCAAACATGAAAACACAGCAGAGAGATTTACAATATCACAAGAGGGAGTTTTCAACTCCATAATTATCATAATTATCGATTTATCTTTTTTTGTAATAATCACAAACACATTTGTGTTTAAAAGTAAATAGTAGAATCCAGGAAGAAGTTGAACTTTTTTGACAGACATCTCATTGGCGAGCCCTCAGCACCAGACTGACTGTTGTATTAAGTCAGCCTTCAGAAATATGAACCCATCCTTTAACCGACAGTGGATTAAATATTTACTCCCCATGTCAAATATTCCTGCTTTAATAAAGAATAATTCATAAAGGTCTCAGATAGGAGCTCTTTGGAGTGATCTTCACTCATCTTCCAGGACCTCTGGTAGCTTTAAGTGTGAACACATTTCTTTATTTCCAGCTTTCCGGGGCAGAGCAGAGGCTCCGCGGGTTAAAATGGATTTCATGCCATATTTGCTGAACACGTGAACACGAGAGATGATGTCTGATAATTGTGTGTCTGCGCGTAAACCAAGATGTGCAGAGGACAAAAGATCACTTGTCATATGCAAATGTGGATTGAAACTGAGACATCACTGCCCCAAACATGAGAGTATACAGCCCCCCCACCCCACCCCCCCTCCACACACACATTCAGCATATTTCAAAATCATCAAACCTTCTTCCCCTGGTGCCACACCTCATACTGGCACACACTCAAACACGCTCACCCCATGATCCATAGACAAGTGCCAGATACACACTCCAACAGCCAAACATGTTGATAATTAGAGCCTTGTTATTGGAAGGTGTTATCACAACAATTAACACCCTAATGTGTGTATGTATGTGTGTGTGTGTGTGTGTGGAGGCAGTGATGGGAGGGAACGTGCCGGTCGCGTGTGCACGCCTTCACATGAGGCTGGGTGGTGAGGAGGTGTGTGTGCATTCCATTAATTCTACCATGCATGCACACCCACACACACACACACATCCACAGTCAGGGTTCGATGTAACAATGAAACAGTTTCTCATTTGATGAAGTTCCTGTGAATTCTGACACAACAGCAGCAGGAATAGGTGGAGTGATAGATTCTGATTGATATCCAGGGGAGAGAGGAGGAGGAGGAGGAGGAGGAGAAGGAGGAGGATATTGAGCTAGTGGGTGGAGGGGGGGGGGCACAGAGAAAAGAAGGTGAGGGGAGAGCAACAAGGGAATGGGAGACGAGTCTGGCCGGTTTATGAAACTCTTTATTATAATTCACACACACATTCATAAAGTGCATTGGTAAACCGAGGTGGTGAGAATAAGTGTCAAATAAATGTGAATTTAATTCTAAGCGATTATATGAGGCTTTAGCTGTATTCTGCTTTTTATTAACAGAAGGTTTGTGTAAGTTTTACGATGTTATTTGTAAACTGAATCAACCTGAATCATAAGATATGAATTCAGTGGAGATGCTGACGTCAGCTATCTCCACAGGCTCCAGACGATATATGTCCACACCAGTTACTGTGAATATATTTTTAGTGGAAACTCTCACACTCTGTTGTAATCACACCAGTGTGTCAGTGTTTCAACATTATATTCACATTTACCTGAAGACATTTGAACTGCATAGAAACAACAAGAAAGAAAGAGTTTCAATATTTTATAATACAGTTCATTTACTTGCTCTTTTGTCTTTTCGTCACCTGAGGATCATTGGTGGAAAATCACTATGTACATCGTTCGACTCCTCTCTGCTGATTCACCACATGCAACACTGAAGTGATAGAAATGCCTCAACAATAATAATCCACTGATACATTCTGAAGTGAGACTAAATTTATACTTTTGGAAATAACAAATGAGTAAAAACAACTTGTGCTTATAGAATCTTGTAATTTAACACACACACTCAATAGAATTGGAGAAATCCTGGTCTCCTGCAGACGAAGACGCTTTAAATATAATTTTAAGATTCTCGTTGTTTTTCTGCACACTAACTTTAACCACACAGTGTCCAGTGTGTGTGTGTGTAGGCTGGTGTAATGAGGTGGAGACAGTTGTCCATTACTTCCTGAGCTGATGGCTCCTCGCAGCAGTGCACCCACAGCTGGAAGAGAGGAGGAGGTGGAGGAGGAGGAGGAGGAGGAAGAGACACAGGCAGATTCCCCCTGTGTGTGTTGGTATGCATTTGTCTTAAAATATTATGGAAAAACACAGTGAGCTAAAATCAATTCACACTCTATGGCAAGAAAAAAAAAACCTTACATGGATAGAGATGCATTAGAAATAAACACAGTCATTGTTCAGGAAGCTTATTACAGGAACCTCACATTTAAAAACTTTGTCCTGTCAGTAAAATAAAGAAATTCAAAACAATACACATTTCAGACATTTACAAAAATAACTTTAACCTGTTGGTTAAAAGCAGTGTTAGAGTCTGAGGGTGATTCAGTTTGTAGGCTGAGGTCTCTGAAGATGAAATTCCTTGGGTTGTATGGAAAGAAGAGCAGGTGTGTGTCGCCATCTAGTGTTTAAAAGCTACAGTTTCACCCTTGCTGATCCGGCCAGTGGACATTTCTCCTCTTTATCCTGCAGGTCAAATATTTCAATCTGCTTCTTCTGGTTTTTTTTTTTTTCTATCTTTAATGTTTCATAGATTAAGCTTCGGGCTTTCACTACTTCCTACTGTACGTGGCAGGTTGTCACAGCACGAGGGGGGGGGGGGGACGGGACACGACAACAGGTTTGTCAAGATCACAATCAACCTGAACTGTGGTCACATCTAGATTCCAGCGGGTGCACAGGCGAGGCTCGATCCACATGACTCCTGCATGCTCTACCCTGATGCCACACCTTGCCTGAATGCTCTGAAAATGCATTGTGAATGTATGTGATGTATAAATAAGCATCAGAAGTTTTACACTCCTTAAAATCAGTATCAGTTGATGGATGGATGTGTAATACAATTATACTGATGTTAATGCTAATGGTCAATTCTCTTATGAATAAAAGAAAAACCACAATTATTCCAACATGTTTCTCTTCCCCCCGTGTACCCATTAAACCCTGATTGTGCTGCACATAAAGAAAATATCACAAACACTCCACAGCACAGTTGTTGAACATTTACACTTTATACTGTTTTTATAAAAAAAAGAAAAAAAAGAAAGAGAATACAGGATTTGAAAATTATCTACAAAACTGGACAAAATGTTGAGCAGTTTAAAAGAAAAGTTTTTTTCCCTCTCAGATCTGTGCTCTCTGTTGTATTCGCGATGATCTTTCACACTTTGATGGTTCAAACTAAACGTGGGCGGCTTCGCAACCGGTTTCACGGCACTGAAAAGAAATCTTCAACACATACAGAGGATTTGTCACCAGCCAAGTAACAAACAGGTGTGTATTAAGCACGAGCTGTGATTCAGTTCACAAACGCCTCACAATGAATCTTCACAACCAAAACTCAGAAAATGCTACATATTGAAACAATGAGACAAAAATAAATAAAACCAATCAACAGCACGAAGACAGAAAATAGTGTTAAATTAATGTTAAGGAGTAAAATTGTTAGTTTTTCCATTGAATTTTAACGAGAAAAGATCAACATGGTAATCTGAACAAATTTAAACAAACATCTGCCTGAAGGGCTGATAAACAAGGAATGAAACAAAAAGCTTTGGAATCCTTTTTGTGCCAAATCAACAGGATTAGGCGTCGGACTGCAAAGAGACATTTGTTCACTTGGTTTTTGCATAAATTATTGACAGAGAATATACAAAAGTTCGTCTTCCTTTATTTCATCCTGGCAAAACAGTTCAAGCTGCCTCTTAGCTTCCATGTAACAAAAACATCTGTTTTTTTTAAGCTGGTTGACAAAGTTAAGATTACAAACACTCGAGGCGTCAGAGGGAGCATCCATTCTCAGCGTTGTGTTCTTTGTGCCACTTGAACAAAGCATCAAAGTAAAGAAATAAATGAGCACGACTGAAACTGAAGGTAATAAATTAAAATATATATGTTGATTTGTCATAAAAGGCGTCAAAAGAAGTATATGTAACTTTAGACTGAGTGAGCGCCAGTAAACTTTTTTATCTTGATGTCAAAAACTAAATAAAATCCGAGGCAAAAACACAGCTTACAACAAACAAACTTTTAATCAGTGTGGGTTTTCTCTCCTCAGGAGAATCCCTGTCAAATGTTAAGCACCATCTTGAAACACTGTTTACAACAGTGGACAACTTATTTATATTCATCATTTACAGAAAAATTCAATGTCCAAATGCCATCATGTGACCACCATGGCCTTTTTGTTTTTATAAATATGAACCAGTTTTCCAGGAATTTTTCCAGGATTCTTTGTGCAATTGACTCAATAAACTAGACAGTAAATGTTTACCCTGCGCAGGTCGTCACCGGGACTGACACCAACACCACAGAGGATCAAATTACCAACTGACACGTGAATATTTAAGGGTGGACTTTAGAGTTAAGGTTAGAGACAAAAAAACAGAACATTTTCATCATCATCATCATCAGAATACTCCATGCTTTCCTCCGTCAATCCGTCCACAATAATAAGACGAGAATATCAGACATTAAATACCTTCTTTTATACTTTTTCTCAAGGTCACAAGAGGAATCCTACACAGGAGCCAGGAGTCTTCTTCTCTAGAGTTAGGTAAAATGAAAGACTGCTGGTACTTGTAGTCTGGGTGTGTAGCACTGCATTTGAGCCTGTGTGTGTCTCTGTTCTCAGTGTCGGGGGCCACTCAGTCGTGGGAGAGGGGGACCTTATCAGAGAACAAGAGGAGTGGAGAGGAGGAGAAACAGACAGAAAATATACATTAAATCAAAATAAAGCTTTGCTTCATATCCAGTGTCCTGTTAGAATTCATCGAACTACTCTATACAAAGATGTATAATAACAAGACTAAAGACCAAACTGAAGGAAGTTACATAACCCACCTGGCGAAGAGAGAAGTGGAGGACGGGAACTCTTTAGGGAGGGAGGGGGGCCTCTTATATTGTGATTGCCCCTGGGACCTGGGTGAAATAAAGGAGGATGGTGCAATAGGGGCCCACGAGACCCTGGGGGGCCGTTGAAGAGGTTGTGCTGTAGTGGAGGACCTCGTAAAGATGGGCCCCCTAGTGATGGACCAGGAAGTCCATGCAAGGACAGAAGCGGCGGAGGTTTGGTTTTGGGATATGAGCCTTAAAAGAGAAAGGAGGGGTGGATAGTATGAATGAAACATTTTATGGTCCCAACATCCTGAATTTTATTTGGGAAATTTGAATGTTCCCGTTGTTCTAACCTGGTGAAGGCAAGAGAGGTGGGCGTGGAGGTGGGGAGTGGTCAATCATGGGCCCGTCTCCAGGCTGAGGCTGAGGGGGTCCGGGTGGAGTAGGGAGTAGAGGGGGTGGTTTCCCCAGTCCTGGAGGTAACATGCTCCCTTTCTCCCCCTCGATGTTGGAGGCTGGACAGAAAAGATAAATGGAAGACTCACAACAGGCGGAGAAGACGTGACCCAAAAGACAGAACAGGAAAAGATAAAGAGTTTAAAGGTGCCGTCAGTCAAACTGACACGGCACCAGCCTCTTCCAGAGACTCCCTGTAATCACCTTGCATGTGCGCCTGTCGAGACCTGACGTACTCTGAGATGGTTTCCAGCTCCTCGGGGTAGAGATGCACCCCCTCGGCTAACAGGTGTAGGAGCTGGCGTGTTTCGGTGGGAACACTGTGGCGCTCAATCTTTTCTCGTTCTAGAAAATCATCCAGCTGCTGCGATGCCTGTGCTGCTATGTCCGCAGGGTCCCTCGGTGGGCGCTCTTTGACGAGTCCACGACTGTGCTCGGCTGTAACAAATTCCATGGCCTGGTCTTTGGGCATGTTGCGATGGACTGAGAGGGAAATGAGGGGGTTAGTTGTGAGGGGGTCAGTGGACTGAAGGGGGAGAAAGAATTTAAATAAGACAAATCTAAATCCGTAGATGTAGCGGAATAACCAGTGGCGTTCTTACGGGTCACTCAAGTAATTCTGAAATCCATTTTGTTTTTACGAGCTGTGATCAGCGAACGCAGTTTTTGAAAAGGTAGTTTTGATTGTGTGTCTTTGATGATGAAAGGGTGATGAGGGGCATGCAAGTTGTGTTAAGATGAACATTTATCAGTGACTTAAATCTTTGTTCAATGAAGTTTCTGGACAAAATATTTTTTTTGTGCATTCAGATGTGCTGTCAAAGCACAATGACACTTTAGGTGATTTGTGCATTTAAATTATCAACAATAAATAGCCTCGTTTTTTCTGCTTTACATTCATTGATTTTATTTTTGGTTGAGTAAACTACACTAAAACAAAAGGTTTGTCTACTTTGTTTTAACTTTTTGGTTGTGGGCTTTACAGCGTAGCATCATTATATAGTTTTGATGTTCTTGTTTTATATGATGCGTAGTTCTTATTTGTATTTTGTTTGTGCATGGTGTGGTTTTAAAATATCCGTTTTTGTGAAATAACTGTAGTAGTGAAGCACAGAACTGCATGTTTGGATATGTGATGTTCTCTAATGAACTCGTTGTGTATACACCATAGACTGTATATGAAGATGGTTAACGTGACAGCTCCCAAAATTGCAGCCAAATCATCTTGATTGCCCCCTGGTGGCTGGCTACAGTAAACGGCCTAAACCCCACCTCCTCCATGTTAGCAGTTAGGACATGGACCAAAGGAAAAGGGAAACATTAAATACATTTTCTCAAAGAGGGATTCTTCCATTTTAGGTTCTTATCACACTTATTTAGTGCAACAAAAAGAAGTTAAAGCAGCCGACACCTACTCACAGTTGGTCAAGCTCTTGTGTCGGTGGTACCTCACTACCACGGCTCCACTGACACTGTAGCGCTGCACTGGCTCCCAATGACATCACCATCTTTAATCAACAGTCACTGGTGGAATATTGTGTGATTTGATTGACTTGAATACAAATGTTATCTTACAGTTGAGTGCAGAATTGTAGTTTTGAGTGTTTTAATGGTTGCATTAGTTGTTTTCATTTGGATTAACAAGAAATCGGTAGAAGATTTTGTGTTCAAAGATGTCGTAGAATAAACGTAAACCACATTAGAGCGTTGGGCTGAGGCTAAGAGAGGGATGGAGGGTTGTTACTGAGGTGGTCTTGAAGGAGTACGAGGGGTACGGACTTACTTTTGAGAGAGTCTGAGAATATGATAACAGTGCAGGAGGACAGAGCTATGTTTGTCTGCTCCACCAGAATACATAACGGGGAGCCTTCTGCTCGGACATCCTGCAGGGCCCGGGTCAGGCCCGTCTCCGCCTGAAGGTAGAGCATTTCCACTGACAGGCCACGCTCCTGCAAGCACTGGCTTAGCGATTTGGGGTAATCCCTTTGAGAGGAAGAGAAACACTTTGTTAACTTGACATTGACTGACCTCAACTGGCATGAAGAGAACCCTAAATTATATCTGTGAGAGGAACAGGTTATTTCTTAATTTGAAATGTTCTTAACCAACAAGTCGTCATTCCGTTTTGTGGTGGATTCTGTGTGTGACTCTTTGGTGATTTAGGTTTTCGTGGAGCTTTGGGTGGCACTGATATACATCTTTGCATCTCATGTCTTGAGTGAAGTGTTATAGTGTGTGTTAGGTTAAATTTAAGGTAAAAGATCAATTATAATTCATTAGAAGTAAAAATGATCTTATCAGATACAACTGCCATGACCACCTTTAAACTTACAGAGAGTTTGAGAGTGTTTTGTTATCATAAGCAGGTTTCAAATCAGTATTAGTAAAATACAGTCATTCTTTCCTTCAGATTTGCAAATAGTCTTTTGGATTTATATTCTGTGCAGCGTCCAGCGTGAACCTTAAAAAAACAAAAGTAGTATTTTAAAAACATAAATGAAGAACATTAGATTTTGTATGCAGCATGTAAGTGTATGTAAAAAGCTTTTTTTGAGAAAGTGTGATTTAAGTTAAATATGTTCAGTGAATAAGAAAGTTATGAAAGGATATTTCAATGGGAGACTTCAGTGGAAATGTGTGTGTGTGTGTTTGACAATGTGTGACAAACCCATTTGTAGTTTTAAAAGTGCATTAAAATGGAGGCAGTGATTACATGTTTTTCTTATGAGAACTGTGGTTATGATATTCATTTATATGTGGATAGCAATTTGACTAATTACTGTTACATCAAGACTAGAACAATGTCCAGTTTTCATAGTTAACATCTGAGAAAACATTGGCAGGCAATAAAAAAAAAACAAGTTTAGGGTCATTTATTGCACGAAAAACCTAGTGACATTTTTTTGAGGTTTTTAACTAGATTTTTGTGTAAATGTCTAGTTTGCATGAAGGGCAAATAAAAATGTGTTCTTTTAAACCTGGAACAGAAATAACAATGTATGTTAAATGAAGTTGGTGAAATTCGGATCTTGTGTTTGTGGAACTCTGATTTATCTTTCTTGTTTTGTTGCAACATGTCCTGAGGATTCCTTGTCAACTCTTTAAAAAGGGGTTTAAACCCGAGGCTTCCTTCTCTTGTTGTTTTTTTTTGTCAACATGATTGATGGGTGAAGAGCTTGTTGTTTGCTGCTGTCAAATACACATACACACAGGATTAACTGTTTATGTTCAACAGCTGAATCTAAAACAATTCAAAACTGCTAACTGCTGACAAAACTAACAATATCTTGGTAGGTTGGACCATGAACAGAACTAATACAATGAATTCAGCAGAAGACTGGCAGCCAGAGGAGAATACTGAGATGTGTGAGAGCAAACTTATACCAAGTATAAAATGCATTATTGTTGAATGAAACATAATAAATACACAATTTCTGACGTTTAAAGATTGAGATGTCGGGTTTTTATACGTACCGTGCATTCCAAAAATATTCAGACTACTTTTTCACATTGTCCTAAATTCCAGTAGACTTCCCCTCATCAATCTACACCCATAATGACAATGCTATAATCTAAACGAGATTAAGTTTAGGAGAAGGACAACCATCCAATCATCACTTCAACACTCCACTTGTCTGCAGCTTCATGGTAGAGTGGCTAGAACAACACAGGAAAGTACCTGAAAGACTGTGTGAAACTGGATCATCTGGTCTCATTAATACAAGAGTAAACTGTTTGCTTTCAGTTATGAGCAGCATGTCAGTTTTCTTCCAGACATTGTACTTCTGTAAACTTTCCCCATCTCCATAGAGGATCTCTGGACCTCAACCAAAATGATCATCAGAATCTTGGTCCCCTCTATTACCAAGGCCCTTCTCCTCAAATTGCTCAGATCATTCAGCCGGACAGAACTTTCCCTTCTTATAGTTTTAAATGTTTTTTCAAGTACTCACAGGCACTGGTTGGTGACAGACATGACCACGCAGTCGGGTGGCTTCCTCTCGTCCTGCACTTGTCTGTAGAACTTCTGGTACAGGGTTTTACGTCTGTCTGCTGGAGTGGAGTTCTCTGGTTTAGCTGAGGGTGTGAGAGCGGGTGTTATGAAGGAAGATAATTTATATTTTGATTAATTTGCAACCAACAGTGCATCTATGTTCATTGAAGTACGTCTCCCAATTTTTGACATTTACTGGATTTCATGTGGACGACATATTGGGACGTAATTATTGAACAAATAAAGTTTGATTCATTTTTATATGGACACATTTTTCATCTGTATTATTTTTTCCATTTAGAACAATATCAAAGAAAACATCTCACCATTTGACTGATGCTTGAATCCCTCAAACTTCACACTTCCAGTGAAGTTTTGAATTTGCTCTCGTTCTTCATAGCTGAAAGAAAAGTGGCGATTACTCAATAGTGGTATTACTAAAAACTGATTAAGTACGTGTGTCATAACTGTTACAGATTCCACAATTACTGTTTGAAGTTCGTAACATTAAAAATAAGAGAACACTGACATTTGAACAAAGGCTCATCTTTGATGAAAGGGTTGTGTGCACCTGTTACCACTTCACAAATATTTTAACAAAATATGTTATTTGTCTAGGGCTGGCCACACTTCTGCATACAGTGTTATGATATCACAAATCCTGATGAAGTATCAGAGATGTTTTTATTAATACAATGTTATTTGGTTCAATTTCCTTTAGGATAGATTTTTTTTTCTCTGACACAGTTCACTTTTATTTAAAATCAATTAACTTACAAAAAATTTTACACTTTTAACGAGAAACATTTATTTGTAGAAAACTGTTTCAATGAAAACTGTCCACAGAGAAGTCAGGGGGCAGCTCTAAGTGAAAGTGGCATTAGCTCATTTTTCTCGGGCACAAAAATCCCAAGCAATATGGATTTTTAAGGACTGACACCAACTTTAGGGAAGTAAAATGTCCTTATTTATGGAAAAACAATTGCAATAATTCTTAAGATGTTGTTATCAAACCCAAATGTAGTTAAGGCTTAATATTTTTACAGTTTAAACATGTACTTTAAAATAAATAATTATAAATAAGATGAAAACAAGAATACAGCCAAATGTACAGAACAAGAATAAATACAATAAAACATATTCCTTATGGAAAAATTTGAAACCATCAGTCAGGCTCTACTTTCTATAGTGTCCTCAGTTACAGACAATTACTTTTCATCAGCTCAGGAAACAATGTGACCACGGCCTCATCAGACTTCTTCTTGAACTAAGAGGGTGTATGATAATTTGAAATATTTTTCTTCTGCTGCACTGTGTGATGACATGTGCGATATAATATATATGACACATTCTCGTCCTCACATCTGATTGTTGAACACATACTTTGGAAACAGGAGCACCTCTACAGTAAAGCTGTGTTCTCAATCACTGTCATTATAACCTGTGCAGATTCATGTCACACAGCGGTGGTTTGGAGTGAGTGAGTGTAAACGCTTGTATGGACCCGGTGATCAGTGTGTACCTGTCCAACACATCCTTGAGCTCCTCGGTCCTCTCCTCTCCTCTGCCGGGGTAAGGGGCTCCTCTCCGAAACCGCCGTTTTTGAGCACTGCATCGCAAAAAAATGTTAAATAACAAGACATGTTCTCCCTTGAAGTTGTGGAATGACTTTATAAACCGCTCGGTACAACAACAACAACAACTGACTTGTGTTGTGGCTGCTACCGAACATGCTAGCTGCTAATGCTACATTTGCAACACGGCTTACCTTCCGTTCGGGTTCGCTGGAGCTCGCCGGGAACCTGCGGCTGATTTCGGCCAAGACGACATTTTCAAATAACCTGTAAGTTCACCCAGACACGCGGAGACACTGTCTTTAAGCGGTGTGAGAGAAGACGTGAGGTTTCCTCCAGGCGTTATTCCACCATTGCCTCCACTGGGAGGAGAAGAATGAGGAGGAAGGGGAGGAGTTCTTCTTCTGGCGGCTGCTGCTCCGACCAAACCGGCCTACACGTGTAATACCGCCACCTGTCGGTCATGGGTGTAAAGGGTGAAATTCAACAGGAACAAATTAGAATTTTCTACAACTATGACAAAATGTCCCTTTGTCCACATTATAAACATTTTACATCGCACACACACACACACACACACACACACACACACACACACACACACACATAAACACACACTGTCTGTACAAGGACCAGTTTGAGTTGTAGACATTANGCCACCTGTCGGTCATGGGTGTAAAGGGTGAAATTCAACAGGAACAAATTAGAATTTTCTACAACTATGACAAAATGTCCCTTTGTCCACATTATTGATATTATACATCACATCAACCCACATTATATATATACATGTATACATTATACATCGCTCACCATAACCCGGGATCCGTTGGTTATTTTATCATGATGATGAACTTTTCGTGGTACTGGAAGTACATTTTTTGCAAACAGAACCTGCATATGATGTTGGAGGCAAGGTAATAAAACATAATTCTAGGCTTTTGTCAGTAAGACAAGAAATAAATGGTAGTGTGAAACAAGACAACAACAACAGCACAGCCAGACACACAGATGACACACAATGAGCAGATTAGTGAGGACATAACAGTGGGTACAAATGAGAGCACAGTCATAAATGAAAATGTGTGATCAAAATCTAACTTTTAATATTTTAATATTTGTGGTGGATGATTTTAAATGTGTTTATACAATATGTCTAGGCACATATTCTACCATTACTGACAATAACTCCTCAATTCATTTTTCAGTGCTGCTCCCTTTATCTCTATCAGACATTTTGTTATGTATAAATACTTAAAACATCGACAAAGATTTCCATTGTGTTACAAACTTTTTCTCCTGATCAATTTTGTAAATACTGCTATTTTGTAGACATGTTCAGTTACACACAGCACCTTTTGCACTTCTGGGGGAGGGATCACTCACGTGTGTCTCTCTCTGAGGTTTTTAAGTTTTCTTTTCCACTGTTAAAAGGTTGGGTTTTTTTGGTAGTTTTTCCTGACTCGTGTTGAGGGTTACGATCAGAGGATGTCGCTCCTTGTTGAGCCCTATGAGACAAATTGTGGTTTGTAATTACGGGCTGTTCAAACAAAATTTGATTGATTGAGTATTGAAAAAACGACAAGAGTATGGTGAATCATTTTTGATATATGTATATTTTTATTCTTATTTTCATTTTATTTTTCTCTATCTTAATGCTTTTCTGCTGCTGTAATGTCCAAATTTCCCCAGTGTGGGATGAATAAAGTCTATCTTATCTTCTTCTTAAATTATTTTAATAAAACAAGGACAATGCACAAAAACATTCATCTCAAAATGAGAAGAGATGATTTATGCCAGATTTAAAACGCACCAAATAATAATAAAAAAACCCACATTAATTTACTTCAACATGCACCAGCACATCCACGTCCATTCAACACATTCGGATAAACAACAATTAAAGATCTGAATCAGCGTAAGGTTTAACGCTTCACCATCACTTTTGAAGGTGTTGACGAGCAGGAGGCAGCGTTGCTAAGCACCAACGCACCTCCAGAAAAAAGGAAGAACAGGTAACCATGGCGACGCGCTGCTCGGACCAGGTGTCGAACACCGGCGTGCACCTACCGCCCCGTGTCGCGCGGATAAGCTCACGCACTCGAACCGTGAGCGCGCCGCGGCGGTGACAGTCGCCATTTTATTTTGAAAATCAATCAGAAGTGGAGGCACAGCGACTCTACTGTTTCGACAAGTTTGCTGCGAGGAGCGAGGCGGGATGAACATCTGATCCACTCCCTGGGAAGCGCGGTGAGACTCACGATGCGTCCCGTAAACCTCCGTTAGCAAGAGTTTGGCGTAAAGCACGAGCAGCGATACTGATACGGAGGATGGCCGCTAGCCATCAGCGCGGGGTGGGGGATATTTGCTGAAGAGCTGCTGTCATATTGGTCCCGTCGAGAAAGTAACAATCCCTGAATTTAGCCACATTTCTCGTCGGGTATTCGTAGTGTTCTTGCACCGGTGGCGTTGTGGCTCGGGTCAACGTCGACGGCGGCTCGGCGGAACGTCCGCGCGTCGTTAAAAGGCAACGGCTGCTATTATCGTGTTAGCGAAGCCCAAAGGTTAGTCGGAGCCCATCCGGGGGAAGCTAGCGTTAAACAAGGCTGATGCTAATGTTAGCTCGCTAACCCCCCTACCCGCAATAGTCGCGGCCTTCGCGTCCACGGCCGAGGCGTGTGCAGCGGACCCGAGGTTTCTTTATATTGTCGAAGAAGTCAAACGGCCCATTTAAAATGTGGGCACAATAAATTAGCGGCCGCGTTTGCTAATTCGCACACGCCAGGTTGCGGCGTTGCTAATGCTAGCTTCGCGTATATTCTAATTTGATAGCATTAGCTTGCAGGGCTACAGGGGAGTAGGAGAGATTCTGGTGGATAATGTGAGATATCGACCGCGGCCAAATGATTCCCTGGAGCAGGGGCGAATTTCGAACGAAGGTCTGCACAATGGAATGGTTTGCGAATCCGGAATTATTTGTTCGTGTTAACGCGAGCTCATGTTGCCCGTGGACATGTTGGCTAACGTTAACTGAAACTTCTCTCGAGCGAGTGTTTACCAGCGTCATGGTGATGTTAGCTTCGGTTTGTTAGCTAGGTGGCCCCACTTGCCACAAGAGAGTGTCCCTAAAAAATTCACCATTAGTTTTTAATCTGTTACCACCATCGTCCGTGTGTCACCAAGACGTCTGGCAGAGATTACGGCCGTTAAACTCGTAATTTACACGGAGATAACTTGCGAGTATTTATCCGTCAACATTAGCTAACTCCAATTAGCTTGCTCTTTGTCCCAGTGGGGGATATTCTGTCCATTATTCGCCATGAAATCCTGGTGCTAGCTGCTCTCAAAGCTGCGTGCAGTTGAACTAGTGAATGCAGGTTTCGTAGTGAATGTGCTATTAAACGCTGAGAAGTTTGTTTGCGCGGTGAGCAACGGAACAAGCTTTGAATCGATGTGCCAAGTATTAGGGTACAACCGAGGCCTAGCACAGGCTACTGGCACGTCGAGTTTATTATGTAACTCAGCTCTATCGCCGTGAAGATAGCACACTCAACTAAAACTTAAAAATTGTGCTGACTATCTTAGCACATAGATTCAGGGCAGCGGAAGTTAAAATATTTTTCACTGCACCTCCAGGTCTGCCATGCACGTAGGCCTCAAAGCCTGTCACAGTACTTGATGTTGTCAATGGATGGTAAATACAGTCCTGCCTGGCGCTGAGACTACAGTACTAAGTTTTGTGCTGTTTAGAAGAGAATTTAGAAAATTGTGTCTCTGGTTTCTTTATTTGTTCCTGTTGCAAAACCTTTTGATTTGTTAAATAAATAACATTTATAAATCTCTCTTTCATTCCAGATGCTGAACTCGATTTTAAACTGAAGGACTTTATTTACCACCGGGAGCCACTGATTGGAAAACCGATTTGGAAGCCGATTTTTTTTTCACACCTTTTGGGGGGGGGGAGCAGAAGTAACCTATCACTGAAGTGACTAAAGGGGAATAATGGTGATTTTGCGCCGTGCTCGGCCGCCTGCTTCCGCCCCAACCAGCAATGAATCTTGATTCGCTCTCGCTGGCTTTGTCTCAAATCAGCTATCTGGCGGACAATTTAACAAAGAAAAACTACCGAGCCAGCCAGCAAGAAATACAACATGTAAGTGCCCTTAAGAACATTTTGTGTCAACAGAGATGTTATAGTTCATCAACATGAGGTGTCTCGAAATATCCTGGTGTCCATGTATTGATGTGCTTCCTGTGCTCTCCCAGATTGTAAATCGTCACGGTCCTGAGGCAGACAGGCATCTATTACGCTGTCTCTTCTCCCATGTGGATTTCAGTGGCGATGGTAAAAGCAGTGGCAAAGACTTTCACCAGGTAATTTATGATCAGAAACATTGCTAGTTTATATTTTTTCATTCATTAGTGGTAATAGTTGTGGTAAAAAGTAATTGTTTTCATTGAGCAAGGAAAAAGGCGTTTCAGGGGCAGCCTTTATTCATTTGTTTTGCATTTAAATTATGAACTTCAGTTTGACTAAAGTTCACCTGCTCTGCTTGGAAGTTAAATACTTTTTTACATGTCTCTTATTCAAATTAAGATTGTACACATAGCCAAGGGACTGAAATCAAACATAATAAATTAAAGCATTTAGATATAAGCACAGTTTAAACATATTCTCTTTAGAAATTAATGTTTAAGACACTCATTCCAATATTGTTTTACTACATGCTAAGTGTTGATGGACACAAAATTCCAGCCATCATTAAACATAAGCTGATTTCAGACATGCTCTGAACTCTGAAGATTCTTCTGAGTTTTTCTGCAGCGACAACGCAAATGTATTAGCGAGAGTTTCTGCAGACTTTCCCAGCCTGCCCCCCTAGTATGAAGTCCGCAGAAACTATGCAGGAGCCATGTCTGAAAACATCTTTAGAACTCCAGGGAGAAATGTGAGTGTGTATCAGTAACCCAGGTGGCACCATTAAAGTCAGTCTTTTGATAGAACTGCTGGTTAAATATGTTGGAAACTAGGAGTATGGCTGTGGGTGACCTTGGGTGACTGTTGTTTATGTGAAATATATATACTCATTTTGGATGGCTGGATTGAATCAGAAATCCCCCCCCACCTTTCAGTCTCTTCAGCCTTTTTTATCTTATTGTCCAAAGCCAGCGATCCAACATTCAAACCCACTCCATGCCATGATTGGTCAGCAGTGCTGAGTGTGCACTTCTTTTTCTTCATACTAACAACTAGTAGTGCAAAACACAGTTTTCCATGAAAGACTGCATCATTATCCCACTTTTTCAATGGTATCAAATTACCCTCCTCAACATGTCAGCTGGCTTTTCACTGTGCCTTCCAGTTTGTCCAACAACTACAAACGCATTGGATTTCTGACATGGTTGGTGTGGCTTGTCTAAAGAGCTTGTTCATAAACTGGCC